ACTGGTTAGCATCTGAACAGGTGAGGACTTCAAATCAAGCTGCCTTCAGATAAGCGATTGATTTATAGAAATACATAGGAATGAAACCTATCATTATGTATCTGTCTAGGTAAGTACAAGTTCTGTACTAAGTTACACAGGCTTTGCTATGTGTAGTATCTAACTTGTGTTTTCTTATGTCACTGGTAAGACATGAAGATAACTCAAAAATTCTAACTTCCCCTTTGCTACTTTTAATGGGAAATGCTCTTGGAGCTACTTGTTCACCCTTTTAAATGCCTTAGGATAAAGGGTTTGTTCCCTGTTCTCCTAAGGAAAAAGGTTGCCTGTTCTTGTTCGTCCCTGTTCTTCTGGAAAGGTAATATGTGTTTGGGTTTTTTACCTCCTCTTGTATCCTCTGTTAGTTATTTGAGACTGTGTTGATTATATTCACCTTGCAAAAGGTGGATAAGAGCAGCTGTTCAGCATGAGATGGATTTTAGCTCTTTGCCAGCCCTAAATCCCACAGCCAGCTCCATCTTCACAGCTGTATTTTGTGAAGCTGGCTATCCTTGGAGTATTCTGCCAGCCCATAGCAGGATGTAACTCATACTGGCAAACACTTCCGCTTCTGCTCTTGTTTGCTGGAAGCTGATGTGCTCTGAGCATGCCATGCTTTGCTAACATGCTTTCTGTCAAAACAGGTGTTTTCAGAATTTTTGATTGCTAAGGCAGTGGAATTGGATTCTGTCTAAAGAGTGGGCTGGGAGTAGCAAGTCCTATATCCCAGTCCTCATCCAGCTTTATTTCCCCTGTGAGACTTTAATCGTTACAGTGCTGTTCTCCTTTCTCATACTTGTCTGGCGTTAGGAAAACATTGCTATGTACACAGTGCTTATCCCAAAGAGGGATTGGTCTTGGCCAGATTTTTATACATCACCTTGGACTTAAAATTAATGCTGTTTGCCACTCTATACAAGTGACAAAGAACTCTACCTTGAAGGTCTTTATTTGGATACTTCATTTTTATTGTAGTAACACACTCTTCCTGCTTGCAGCTTCACCTTCCTTAGGAAAGTAACATCAGTGGTCTTACTATTTGGAGTAAACTGAAACGTTCAAGTTGTGGAAGCAAGAGCTATGCAGTAAGAGACCATACAAAAGGCACCAAGGCAGAAACAAAGGTACCAATGTCTGTGTGAAGCATATGTGACTAGAAGTAGCAACGCAGAAATCTGCTGCGTGGCCATTAACTGTGGGTACTACCACTGCAGGGAGAGTGTTGAAAAAGACTGAACTGAGTCAGGGAGCTGGTTTAGCAGCAGGGTGAATGTAAGTGCATGGGATGTTGGGCTGTCTGAAAACATGGTTGACTTACAGACCACATTAGTGCTTGCTGGTGTGGAGTGTGAGACTCCTGGGCTGCATACATAACACTTGGGCAGTGGTGATGATAGAGCAAGAGTGGCTTAAGGACATCTACAAACAGATTTGTAGGTAGAGGTAGTTGCTTTTGTTAAACTAATACCGTGGTAAAAATAGACAACTGTTAAGGTATATAGCCTTGAGATTTGGAACAGGAGCAGCGAGCCTCAAACCAAAATACAACTTCAGAACCGTTGCTTTGCCTGTAATAAGGTAGTGTTGATGGAGGAACAGATGCTTTGATGGCTGGGGCATGCTGCAAAACAGGGGATTGTTCTGACACCCGTTCAGGGAGTTGCTGCTATTTCCTCTCTTAGATCAAAGAAAGGCCAGCAACATCCTGATCCTTGTAGGGCTTGCGGAGGGGAAAAGACGTGTGCTGAAACAGGCCCAACGTGGAGGAGGCCAGAGGCCAGCTGGCACGCATGCACCCGGCTCTGGCTTGCTGAGTTTGCAGAGTGTGCAGGACAGAACCTGGACTTTGGATATGGCAATAATAAATGTTAACTCATGTCTGTGATAAGGCAGTGTTCCTTCTATTGCGCTTCTACTATTAGTTCTTGCACAGAGAAACTAGTTGATTGGTACTCTGTGCAATCAGAGATAAGCTGTAAAGGGGATGTTGTTTTCCTTGGGTTTTCTTTTTTTTTTTTTTTTCCTGTGGGTTTTGCTTGCTCTTAACAAATGTGTGAAGGTGCAATGCCCCTAGCACAGATTTAGCAAAACAGTATTGGTGTGCTGCTTAAGGGCCACAGCAGATTTTTCAACCCTGTGAAGTTTCAACCCTGCGAAGTAAAGTTTTCTGTTTGACTAAAAAGCACTCTGAGGCCCGCTGCAGTGTGCAACTCTTTCTGTCAAAATTCTTCAGTCCTCATCTGGAGCAATCTTGTTTCACAATGCAAGTATTTTAACCTTTGAACTTATTTGACCCTGATGACACTGCTAAAAATAAATGACAATTGTATTTGCTGTTGTTTAAAATACTTGCTCAGCCCCCTGAGTGTTCAGAACAAACAATATTGGGCAACACCACTTTGGGGTGATTGGGCATCTGAGCCATCCTGTGGGATTGATTATAAATTGGGGGAGACAAAAAAGCAAATGCATTTTGGCTTGGATAGGTTTCTAAATACCGCAGCTGTCACCCAAAAAGTTATGCAGTCTTCCAAGTTGTCAAAGCCACCTAGAGGTAAGACAAGTTGGTATTACGTAGACATAACACATTTGAGTGAGAGTCACACTAATAAACTCAGAAGCGTAAAAGTTGGTGGAACAAAAGATAGAATCTGAATTTATTTTTTTTCCCTACCCACAAGTGTATGAAATGTCCTCAGACTCAGATAACTGATCTAGAAATTAGCCAATCTTCAGCTGCTCTCTTAAACTGCAAATGACATCGATCCATTCTAGGCATGAGTTCATCGTTTAGAAGATGAGCTTGTAGTTCCTCTAGAACCAGCATGTCTGTGAAAGGTAAGCACAACTTGGTTGTGTTACTCTAGATCAGAGAATTCGCGTGGAGTTTGGCTGCAGTGGTCTTTTAACTTTCATTCCCATTTCCACCTGCAGCTTCTAGATTTTTGGTTAGTCACAGTACACATACATTTTATTTTTCAAGGTTCGGTCCTCTTAATGCTTGTTAGAGCTGATCCCTCTCTTAAAACGACCCCACCATTCAGTGTAGTTTTAAAGCAGTCCTTTGCTATCACAAGAATACCTGAAGATGTACAGAGTTGTTTTCAAAATCATGCAATGTGTCTTGCCTGTGAAGTTTGAGAGCCTTCCTGTTCTTTTAGACTGTAGAATAATGGAGAAGCCTTTCAAAACCACAGTGTTGTTAATGAGCATGGGCCCAAGGAGGAACAGCTGGTCAAAATTCCTGGAGCTTGTTGAGCTTATGAAAGAGGCGATAAGAAAAACTGCCTGCAAGTGGAACTGGTGGTTCAGCAAATCCCTCCCAATCCTTATGTTAGCAAGGATTACTTTAGCTCTGAGTACTACCACTGCAAGGAAAAGCTCCTTAATGTAAAAGAGCCCGGAGCCCGCACTGGGATATCGTGTGATCTTGCTGCCCAGTCTGTTCTAAGCTGGGAGCTTGTTCTCTTTTCAAGCCCAGAGTGCCTCAGGCAGGTGATTCCACACCCTGGAAAAAGTGGAAATGGCATTACTTGGCTAACAGGCAGAGACACACCTTGTTTGTTCCCACCAAAGTGTGCAAGACACTGACATGTACCATGTTCCTGAAAAGGCTGAGGTGGTGGTATGCTGTCTCTTCCTAACAAACATTGCTCATTTGAATGAGTTCTGACTGTGAAAGGTGAGCTCAGCTGTTTAACATACTTGGTATTTTTAAATCCAAATATCTAGCTGCAGAGCTCTGAGCATGTATTGAGAAGAAGACACACATACATGACAGCTGAGAAAATAAATAATATGATTTCCCCCAGTTTCGAGTATTGAAATATGGATGTGAATTTTGCTAGTAGTGCTAAAAGGGCTGGATTTTTATTTTTCCAGACAATGTCTATTTTAAAGCATCAGTTTGTTGCAATGGACAGAAACAAATGGTTTGAGGTATGTCCTAAGTCAGTGTAACCACTGCCAGAGGTCCCTGAAAAGGGCTGAATCCAAAGCAGAATGAGTGAGCACCCAGTGTTGGGTCTCTCCAATATGATGCTGATCAGAAATGGGGAAAAAAAAAGCCCCAAACAATTCTTTCCAGGATACAAAATGTATTTTCCTTTAAGCCTGTCTTTCTGCTTAAAGCCTTTCTTATTCTTAGAGTTAGTTGAGGGGGGGGGTAAAGTCACTGTAATGAACTGGCGTATTACCAGCATGTTTCTCACCCAGCTTTGAGTGCCTTAACAGGTACCATTTGATTTGGGTGAACAGCAGGATCCCAGACCTCAGCGGCAGGTATTGTTGCCATGTCCAGCAGCTCAGGTCTCTCGCTCGCGTCCAGCAGTGAGCAGGAGAGCCTGGGCTGCAGCAGGTAGCCCCTGGCTGGGCAGGCAGTCTGCCTTCTGATGGCACTGGAAAGGTGTCCGGGGCGGGAGGCAAAGTGGAACCATCTGGCCCAGGAGCTGTCTCCTCTTTACGTGCTTAACTGCATCTTTTTTACGTGCTAGGGCGAGGCTGTCTGCTCGGCTGCAGTAACCTGCAGCGATGGGAGGATAATCGTGAGCTAAATTAGTTGTGACGAGGGGTTGGTCGGAGCTCTACGGGCCGTGGTAGAATGCCAAGCCCCTTATGTTACATACGCTGCCCTGGGGCTCTGGTCACCGAGAATGACTCTGCCTGTGTTCCTGGAAACTGCTGGTCTTGCGCAGCTTGCCAGCAACTTGCTGACTTTCTGCCCCATTCCAGAAGCTCTGTTTCAGCCCAGTTAGGTTGAACCCAGCCTGAGCCGAACGCAGCTTCTTCAGCTGGGATTTTCAATCACTGCCAGGAAAAAAAAACAAAACAAAACAACCCTGCAAAAGAACAGTGACCCAAGACAGCTAGCCTCTTCCTTCCTCCTCATCGCATTTTCTACATGCTCACTTTTGGGGAACATAAGAATAAAACCACTTTGCTCCTCATACAGGCTGCAAGATACTGAAGATCTCTATGGAAAGACACCTCGAAATAGGGATCTGGTAAAAACGAGGACTTAAATGCCTAGCCAGGTCTGTTGCTACACTAAGAATTGAAGAAGTGATCAGAATGAATTGTATTCAACAGACAAATGCCTTCACTGAAGTAACCAACTTCAAGATTAGACGAACCTGCGGTGGTGGTGACTTGTGTTCTGCTTCACCTCGAAGTGAAATACTTCCTCAGGTGACAGTTCCCTGAGCCCTGGTGACTCTCGGGCTTCGCTCCCAAACCTTCTCCGGGCTTCTGCAGGAGGAAAGCTGGAGCAGATTCTTCAGTGTTAAGCTTATGGTTTTAACTGAACCAGATGAAACGATTTCCATGTTTTAAAACAGTCTCTGGTAATTTCCATTATTTATGAATACGTTTCCCTGAAAACTTTCTCTCTGGGGATGGGATGTGAAATACCCACTTAAACAATAGAGAAAAGGGACTTTTAAACAAAGCGATGAAACTGGCAATATACCAAAAGCTCTAGATTAACACAGCTGAACCAAAAATACATCTGAGGTGCTTTAAAGGTCATTTACTGTGTTGTTATGATGTAGGTAACATTTTTCAGGAAAAAAACCCTTGTTTTTCCTTTTAAAGTATTGAGCTCTTTTTATTGTAAACCACTGTTTTCACATACAATTTTCCAAAATAATCTTGTGGTATTTTTCCACAATTTGTCTTTTCTTCACTTCTGTTATTTTAACTTGAAAAGATGGAAAATATATTTGGCTTGGTTTGTTATGAGACAGTGAAGATAAACTCACTTTTCCATTTGAAAAAGGTACACGGTTCTAGCTGGCTTCGTAAATCCAGGCACCTTTACCAGAAGGTCTCTCCAGCCAAGCGAGAGCAGAAACAAAGGGGTTGTAAGCTGTTAGTAACTGTTCCACTAACACAACTGTGACCATCGTCCTCCCCTTGGTGACTTCAGTAAAGACTGAACCCGAAAGAACCAATTCAATTCTGATATTAATTACATGTCAAGTTTAATTCCGGTTTGTATTTTATATTTGGGGAAACTAAATTAAGTACAAAATACTAAAGCTATTTTGTGTTTGCAGCAAAAGTATCATCCCCAAGCCCTCCTTTTTCTCAATGAACCAGCTTGGCAGGTAACTGCACGTCTACTCAAGGATCCGAGTATGACGGGGAGCAGTTCTAGTTTCAGAAGTAACCCCTTTAAATTCCTCATTCCACAAAGCTTCGTATGCCCATGTTTACACGCTTGAGCCTTCCCACGGGCTTTTACAGAAAACTACTATCTTGTTCAGTAAGGATATACCTTGCTATTAAAACTTACTTTTTTTAAATTGCTGAAGTCATTAGGGTGACTCACATGTTTTAAGGGCAGATCTGTGCTTAATAATTTTGCTAACTGGGAGCCAAATTGCCTAATGCTGTGCACAGGACTGAGCCTATGCTACAGAAAGCATAAGTTATGTCAGGTTTTTACCAGGTAGGAGTCGGTGTGCTTTGTCTGGCCCCAGCCTGCATTTGCTTAGCATGGTTATGTGCAAGCAGCGTTTGTTCAGTTCAAGCAGCGAATGAGACAACAAGACCTGCTTGTGCTTTTTGAGCCAAAAATACATAAATATTGTTAAAGTTGGAAGTGGAAGGGTGTACCAGCAAATTCATGTGACCAGCCTGAATGCTGCAATACAGAAATGCTGCTGCTTAACCTGTGGAACAAATAGCCCAGGATGTTTGTAAAATTACTCTGTTGTCCAATGAACCTAAAAGAAAAGGGATGTGGCAAGGGCCGAGTCCGCTAGCTTGGATGACACACTCAGAAAGCAAAAAATGTTGCAGACCACAAACCCACAAAAGCAGTTTTAACAAGACCCTGCAAAAATTTGCCGTGTTGCAAAAGCGGAAAATCCAAATTCAGTGCTTGATAGAAATATAATCTGATAATGTATACAACTTTGAAGACAAACAAATAACCAAAAGATTTTTGCAGGAAGAGAAAAAGAAAAAGGTTGGAATTTATCATTAAAATGCAAATTACAAAAACGAAACTAAGTATGTTGTTCAAAACACTCACTCTTGCTAGAAAGTGTTACTGAAAACACCCCTGCCAAACTCTAGCAGATACAGATGTATTTTTAAAGGAAACATGGAAAGCCTGCATGAAATTGTGTAGAGAGTAAAATAAGAGATGATCTGTATGGACAACTGGTTTGTCCAGAAACGGAAGCTGGAAGAAGGGTAAAGTTAGGATAACTTCTACCACCCCAGGGTCGAGAAGGGGAACTTTCCGACTCCTTTTGGCTGCAAGGGGAACGGTCGAATTCTGACCCCAGCTGTGTGCAAGGGAGCCCCAGAACAACGGCCTGTGAGTCTGTCCACTGGAGCCCGCGGAGCCACTGCAGACCTCTCTGCTGGAATCAGAATCAGAATTTGGCAGTAAAACAAGAGTTTCTGATGACACAGCAAAACCCAACTTCCTTGGGCTTTTCTTTTTAAGCTGTTTCTGACAAAAAAAAAAAAAAACAAAAAAACAAACCACCGAAAAGGTAAAGCAATCGTTAATTCAGTAGAGGGTGGCAAAACATGAGTGAGAAAAAGAGCAAGGGCATAAAACTTTATCAGAGCCGGTTTTGCTGACGGTATAGGCAGCGATACATAAGGTTAAGTACGGCGGTAACAGATAAGAGCGCGCCGGCCAAGGTGAGAGGCTGTCACGGCA